ACAGCTTTCAAATAGTTATTTATTCTTAATTTTGCTTTGGTCACATTTTGCTTTGGTTTCTCATTTTCAGAACACAGCAGAGAAATATGATTAGCCTCATTCAACCTTTTTGAGCTATAAATGGGTCCTCCTAGATCAAAAGGCCATGGGATTTAATTAACAGTTTGGACACTGGGAATATTCATGAGACAAGATTGTGTGGGCTGGACAAAGAATGATGGCTTGTTTTTCAGCTTCAAGTAACAGATGATAAAGATAGGAGTATTAATGAACGAGGAAATTTTACAAAGATGGTTTCAGTTAGGAAACAAATTTTCATAAACAAATTTGAACATTCTAGAGGAATCAATACCCAAAATGTTAACAGCAGCTATCCATGGGTGATGGTGGAAACACCTATATCTCACTACTTCCATCTATACAGTGATGTATATCTCTATTGTTTCTTGAGTATAAGTTATTTTTAAGGAAATAAAAAGTATTATACAAAACATACTGCATTTTTCTCTATAGGTAATTCCCAAAATACCTTTTGGATGACTTTTTTATTCACTACATGCAGAGTTTCTAGTGAGTTACCACTAGATAGTAAACAGATTGCATTAAAGATTGAAAGACATTTTTCATAAGTTAGTTTAGCCCTAGAAATTAGTTTTAATACAGGACTTGATTTTGATATATTGCATGCCAAATTATGTCCCTAAAAAGGAAAATAAAAATGTATCCATAACATACATACTACATGCTCTCATGTTGTATGAGACATTATGTATGTATGTATGTATATTGACATTATGAAGATTATTGCACTGTATTTTCCTAGAAATGTAAGCCTTGTTACATTGTAATATTACACTATTTATATACATATTTTTAAATAATAGTGTCTGATTTTTATTTCCTTTTTTTTTCTCATAGGAGAACTATAATGTAGACCAGAGGTGCAGGCGGATAAGAAGATTCATCAGAGAGTGGGGAGTAGAACAGCCAGATTTACTGAATTACACTTCTGAGGGGAGCAGCAGAGAAGAAAGGGGAGGTCTGCTGCCCTATGTGGGTTAATTCCCTGGCCTGGGATAGAAATCTGGGGCTATAGGTGACAGCACTGACACTTAACTGCTAGGCCACCAGAGAACCCCACTATTTGTATATATCTAATATGCAGTGTCAAATCGCCATACTATAGAGATATATTATTTACAAGGTGTGGGTGCCCAAGAGCTGACCACTCATGGACAACTGTGACTTATCTGTTATCTGCACATCACAGCAGAGCATTCCCTGACTACCTGTGGACAGTAGCCTGTATCACAAGGCAGGCCCAGGAAGCCTGGGCCACAGCTGATCTAATTATATGACTGACTTCAGGTGGTCTCAGAATAACTCTGCCTGTGATAACATCAGCATATATACTTTTCTGACACAAATGTTTCTTGGCGTATAGTCACAATGTCCTCTTCTCTGTTCCTTGTATAACTTTGTCCCCATTCCAGCCCCACTCCCTGGACTTGTATCTCATGCCATTGTCCCATGATCAGCTTTGACTAGCCTGTGAGCTGTCAATAAGTGGCACAAGAGCTTCTGCTCAAGGAGCAGAGTCTTGCCTTGTAAACCTGCTCCAGGACTGTTGCAGACCTCACTGTGTTGCCGCTGAAAAGTTCCTGTAGCAACAGTTTGGAGACCTCTATTTAGCAACATATATTTTAAATTGCTCCTAAAAAATTCCCAAGTGAGCAAATCGATCTGTCCCACCAAATCTGACAGGTTGAGCTACAAATTCTGATGTTAGCAAGTTCCATGGGGAGTTGCATAATCAGGAAGCACTTTTGTAATAATTAAGGTCTTTGAACTCTTCTAGGTTCCTCTAGAATTGTTTGTATATATGTACACATAGCAAAAATAGTATGTAAATAGATTAAAATATGTTTAAAGGTATGCATGTACTATCTTTTGATAAACATTATTTAATACTAATATTTACATTTCTTTTGGGGGTGGGAAATAAAAGTCAAAATAGTATGGTTTCCATTCATGGGAAAATTTGGATCCTTTTTAGAGTTATTTTAATATTGTTCTCTTGTTCTGATAGTATAATAATAATAGCTTTCTATTATTCTTTATGCTATATTACCCTCTAGAAGATAAAAGGGTAAGGGGAAGAAATTATAAATACTAGTATTCTGTGCAGCAACTATGCT